AAGAAGTAAGTCAATAGTTCGAACAGTTTCACATTCTTTTGGTATGTATCTCTTTATTTCATTATGTCTTGAGTCATTGAATAACCAATGGTAACATTAAATGCTATACCTGTTGCGTCAGAAATTTCTTGTACTTTACTTTGAGGAAAGTCTCTAACACGAATGACTTCTCTCATGTGGTCAATAGTTTCTTCATTTACTCCAGCCTGAATGCAAGCATAAACGAAACAATTGTCTTCTGTCATAAGTGTTGCAGTTCTTTTGTTCAGTTCATTGAAGATTTGGTAGCGTTCAAGATTTATAGGTAATGTGCAAAGATACTTCCAGAACTGACCGCTTCTCTTCTTATAAAACTTCTTTTCACCATTATCTTTCCAAAAGCTTTCTATAAGTGCTGGGTTTCCTGTTTGCTTAAGAGCTTCCAAAATGGCTTTCTGGTCATTTGTCAGTGTGCTTTCATCTCTATATGGTCTCTTTTTTGGTTTGCCTTTCTTTACATCTGACATCGTTAAGCCTTCATATTCTGTTAAATCATACATCTTTATTTCAGTAAGATTCTTTATGTTTGTCAAGAAGAAGTCATAGTGCATTTCAACAATACCTGCAGCATTTGCTTCTATCTCTGATATAAAGTTCTCCTTCAAGAGCTGATGTAGTAATGTTCCAATATTATTGAGGTTTAACGTAGAACATTCATACTTTCCACCAAGTTTATAACATACCATCCATCTCTGTTGTGAGTTTATTTTAATCTTCTCTAAGAGTCTCATGAAAACCTTACCGAAATGTTTGTGTAAGTAGTCTCTGTTTGGTTCATCTAAAGCTTCGATGTTAAAGTCAATGAGTCTATTGCCTGACTTCACATTTCTCTTCCTATTCTCTTCATCTTTCTTTAACCATCTCTCACCTTCTTTTGGTTTGTCGTCAATGGAACGAATGACATCGTTAGCTTTGCGAACTTGTTCTATAGCACTTTTAAACATCTCTCTTCTCTGTTGTTTCAGTGTGTCGTCTCTTCTTCTTGTTTCACCAACGTTTGCATTTGTTATGTCAAACATTTCTCTTCTTACTTCATGAGGTACTGAACGTCTATGATATAAGTCAATAGCAACGTCATTTAAAGGAAATGCTCTTGCATGGACTTCGTCCTCGCCGCGTTGCGGCTTTATGAACTCATGAATTCTATCATAACTTATTGCACCATTATAGTCATTGAGGATGTCAGCGAGTGCTTTTTTGTTTGTCGCGTAATGTTTTGCAACATCTATGTTAGCTTCTGTAAGAAGTTGTTTTATTTCCGAGTGTTCTAACTTAGACAACTTCCGATACATCTTTAGTAGGAAATAAAAAAATATTTTTTGAAAAAATTAGATTAGATTTTTTTAAGTTATTTTTCAAAATAATTTAATATTTTTATTTTAATGAAACACATGCAAGATTGCAAGTTCTTTTCATACAATGCTCTCGCTACTGTCATCAAGAATGAGTTCAATGGTGCTTCAAACGTTAATGTTATCTTTAACAAGAAGTTTGTGAAAGAATCTAAGTTTGGTCAGTATGTCAGACCATTAGCTATTGTCATTGACCGCAAACGTTATACTTCACAAGAGTTAGCAGTAGTTTTGAAACAAAAGGGTTTCTTCGTGAATGTCAAAGATACTCATTATACTGTCATAAAGAACTCTAACATTGACTTCTTCAGTATTGCTATGAATCTTTCCGAACAGAAAGAATATAAGAAGGGTGAAACAAATGTGAAATATTATCCTTCATCTCTGAAGACAATAACGAACAAAGATGTTATACAGAAATTCTTACCAAAGGTTGAAGAAGCTTCAATTGACATTGACGAAGGAAGTGAAATGGTTGAAGAAATTGACCCTGACGTTATTTGAACAAAAATATATTTTTGGTTAGTCTTCATATCGATATTTTACAACAATTCCCCAATGTATAAACTTTTCATACGCTTTTTCATAAGCTTTATATACCTTCAGAAATTTTGCATAATCTTTAGAAGCATTTAGATATTGTTTAAATGCTTTATATACCTTCAGAAATTTTGCATAATCTTTTACATGTTGTTCGTTCTCTTCTTCTGTCATGAGTTCCGAATATTCTAAATTCATGTTCTTTCATATGAGATAAAATTTTATAAAAAATAAAATTAGCTTAGATTTTTTTATTCTTCCTCTTTGAAGTTATCGAAATATTCTGTTATTTTTTCCTTCAGTAATGGTAAGTCTTCTTTGAAGGTAAGAATTGTACAACCTTTAATATCATAGTGTGTTTGAGGAAGAGTACTTTTGACAATTTCCTTTATTTGCTCATTCGGTGTCATTGAAATCGGTAAGTTTTCACGATAGAACCAGTTTCTGTCAGATTTATATATTTTAGCGAGGTCATAAAAGCTCTTGTTGTTTCTTCTCACTAAATGCAACATAACCATATCTCTATCTTCTTCTTTCTCCATCTCTTCAGCGTAAATCATATACTTATAGCTTTTTTCCTTTCCTTTTGGTACTGAACGTGGTATTCTTTTCTGTATGCTTTTGTCTTTGGATTCAATGACTTCATCTTTTGCTTGAAGTTTCTTTTCCATCTCTCCACGTTCTGCTTTATATAGTTCATCTAACATCATGAAAATATAACAAGCATAACGAGGTGAAGCCCACATTGCTACAGCGTTTACTAAAAGTCTATGAACATAATAACCTTTCAAACCAGGTGCCAAATTCTTGCGATTTTCGTACGGAATCTCTTCTCTCGGTTTTCCGAGGGAAGCAATCATATGAGGAAATTCTTCTAAAAGTTCTTTTGTCTGTTGGTTTTCAAACCAATGATATGCTTGCTTTGTAGAACGAAGAGCATTCATTATACTTTGCATTTGGTACATGTCATCTTTGACTGAACGAATGAGACGTAACTGTTTGTTATACTGTATGTATTCGTATTCTTCATTTATAGCTTCATGGACTATAACTGTTGTTGTGTTCTCTGATGTTGTCATTACTGTCTTTACATACAAAATAAAAAAATAAATAAAAATAAAATTAGCGTTATTTTCTGACTTTCACAAAAGACCAAAAATAAACGCTTTACATGTATTTTTCAGCAACTTCGTCAAATAATTTTATAGCTTTATCTATCTCATCTACTTCAAACGTTTCTTTACCTTTCATGGGAGCACCATACATTTTCTCAAACTTTTCAAGTAGTTCTGTTTCTGCAGCTCTCATATCATTAACGAACACAACCTTGACTCTATTGACTGTACTGTCATATCTTTGAGTTATATTATATGTTCTTCCTATCTTATATCTCTTTGTATTGAAGTCCTTCGGTTTCTGAACGATGTAAAGTAAGCCTTCACTGCAACGTTCCGTATCGAATGAACCATAAGTTATGAAGTTATATCCAACAACTGGGTCTAACCATAACAAAACTATTGGTATAAGACTTTTGTCTATAAGATATGCTCTTGTTCCATGAAATGCTACTGATATCATAAGCTCAGGATTTCTTGTCAAAATTTTCTGAGTTGAAGCATTTCTAACCCAGTCGTTTGTTTTCTTTCCAGATGGTGTTATAATGTCTGACAAAGAATATTTGTTGTATTTCTTTGAGTATCTTACGTTTAAATCACCTATTCTAACCACTTTGGTGTCATTGTCTATCTTTCTAACTGTTTCAAACTCAATGTTTGACATTACTGTCTTTACATACAAGATAAAAATTTTTCTTAGAAAAAATAATGTTTATGTTAGCATGTTAGATCTAACACGTTTTCTAACCACTTTTCTAACATCGAAGAAAACTATTTACAAGCGTTTTACATGGTATATGTTGCGATGGTTCATGACTTTAAACAGTTTTGTAGCTTCTATTTCTTCACGAAGGATATCAAAAATTTTAACTATGCCGAAGGTTTCTTTATATTTCTTCTTGACATCAGATAATAGGAAATCGTCAGCAGTTGGATAGTTTTTGTTCAGAAATGCTAACATGTCCATTTTATCTTCTGCTGGTTTCTCTACTTCTTTCTTTAAGTCAGCATAGTCGTTTCTCATACGTTCTATCTCTTTGACGGAGTAGTTATATTTCCTCATTGCTGCTTTACATTTTGAACATTGCGGATTCATTTTTGCGTTATACATTGAAATTTGACCTGCTAGAACAACTAAGGCGTCAATGGTTTTCTTTAACTCAAAAGTTGTTGGTTTTATTTGTCCATTCCATATTTTACATCTTTTATCTTTATCTCTTATCTGCCATACACATTCAGCAACTAATGAAACAAAGTTGTCGTATGTCTTAAACTCCCCAGATTTATATATGTCAGAGATGTTCTTATATACCATGTCGCAATCTTTGTCCATAACTTTATGGTTGCAATGATATCCTAGAAACTCATAGTTTACTTTACGTATGAACTTCTTTATTTCTACTGAGTCAGTTGGTTTCACTTCTATTTCATCGAATTCATGAATAGTGAGCTTTTGTTGTTGGATTTCAGGCAATTTGGGTAAATGGTCAATAATATCCTGCATGTCATAAAGATACTGTTCATTTGTTTCATCTTTCGCACTACAGTCTAAATTACTTGTTAAAAGTTCTTGCTTAATTCTTTGTATTTCTGTCTCAAAAGTATATGAAGAAGGAATGAAGCTTTTCATCTCTACTAACATAGATGTTGGATTCATAACTAAAGAGTTTGGTGAAGTTGTTGTTTGAAGTGTTGTAGAACCTATTGTTGAAATCATATCTTTACATACAAGATAAAAATTTTTCTTAGAAAAAAATTAGCGTTATTTTTCTTTCATAAGGAAATGTCAAAAATTCATGATTTTCGAGAGTTTTAGACCATGTTAGAAAAGTGGTTAGAAAACGTGTTAGATCTAACATTCTAACATAAATAAAGTTTATGTTAAAATAAATGGTACCATTAATGATATCATGACTGTTCTCGTTCATGTCTGATTTACATCTAATGAAAAAGTTTAGAAGAATTTTCTTATTCTTTCTGGCTTATTTTTGTCTTTCCAGTACTCCCGCTCTAATGGTCCCAGATGTGTTGGCTTTGACTCTCTCAAGTTCTTAGATGGTATAACATCTTCAACGCCTCCTTCATATCTTACTTTATAAGTGTCATCGTTTATGTTATAGTTAAGTATTTCAATAACCACTCCTCGCTTTGCTTCGTCAATGGTTTCAGCAAGTTTGCCATTACTACTTTCGACTAATTTATGACGAGGATAAAACGCAATAGAGTCGTCAGCAGCTTTTATAAGATATCCATTACCTTGCGTAGAGTCTACGATATAATAATTTCGACTTAACCTTAAACGTTTCTTTGTCAACGGTTTGTCGTCAAGAACTACACGAACTTTTGTACCAGGAATGAGGGTAAATTGTGTTGAATTTCTGATATTTTGTGTTTGGCTTCGTTTCTTTTGTATATACTTTTCTTCTTGTTGTTGTGTCATTGAATTTGGTGTATGTCCTGTTGTAGAATTTGTTGAGGAATTATATACTTCGAGAAAATGTTTCACTGTTTCTTCGGTAAAGTCTCGCTCTTGATTTAAATCTCTGAGCGTTCTTATGAAGCGATTAATGATACCTAAAATATTATGGTTATGGTCTTCAGTAGTGTAGTGAGTTATGTTATGCTTAATGAGAAATTCTGTGATTTCGTTGCTGAGGTATGCACTGTCTTGGTCTGATGTTAAAGTACTTGGGTTATGTTCTGCTACAAACTTTTGTAAAACTCTTAACACTTCACGAGTTCCTTTATTCCTCATTATATACGCAAAAGCACCACCCATTCCCGCTTTTGACCCCAAAAACGTCCATATTGCATTTATTTCACTCTGTATAGTTGTCCATTCAGCGAAACTAACACCCGCATTCGCTAAGCTGAAAATGAAATTCAGTGGATCGAACTTAATTCCACCTTCTTTTTCAATTTCAACGAACTCACTAACATGAGATTTTAAATATTCTTTCGTTAAAATTGTTTTCCCCGATGTTATGTCATTAACGAAACTATCACCGTCAAAAGTTAACGAATTCAATTTCGTCGTTGATGCTTTTATTTCATACACCGCTTTATCAATAGTTTTTGGCTCACCTTCTTTAGAAGTGTATGAAACATTAATGAATGAATTATATGTATTCATGAATGAATTAAAATCAATGATTTTCATTAATGACGCCTTTAATGATTCATTTACTGTCGAATCCCTTAAAGTAATTAATGAACTGTCATTTATGAAAGGTACACTGCAAACCGTCGAGTTTGGATCAAATGCTATAGTTGGTGCAGGAATATTAATGATATAAGTCATTAAATCATTAAGTGACGTAAATAATGTTGTCGTTTTTGATTTAATTTCTTTAGCATCTGTTATATATGGTAATTTTATTTCTGTAGTTTCTGAATTAAAGATATTCGCTAAAATGTTTTGTAAACTGTTTTGAACAGCTGTGTAAACCGTTGAATCCGGAACTCTTACGATTTCACCATCCTTAATAAAAGGCATTGTACATGGCGTAGTGCTTGGGTCAAATCTTTCGGGATTATAATTCAACATATATTCTAACGCTTCATGAACAGACTTATATACTGTTGTGTCGTTCTTCATGACAACTTCACCATTTACAATGAATGGCATAGTGCATGGAGTTAAAATGGGGTCAAACTTTTCATAGTCCTTCCATGTTATGTATTTCTCGGTATTTCCATCACTGATAACAATATATTTGTCAGTAAGTGTGAGAGAGTATTGACCAAAATATAAACGTTTAGCTCTGTCAGCTTCATACGCATATGCAGCTATACTCATATTTTAATGAGAATAAAATGTTGTTCTATTTGCAAAGTACAGACCCAAACGAATACGGGACAGTAAAACTACAAACAAACTTAGGTCTACAGAATGAGCCACTTGCATTCAGAATGGTTGACTTCAATACTATCGCTTCATTCGTTATAACAGATGAAACAGATTTCATGGAGATTGAAATAGATGGAAAGAAGCACGAAATAAGATTTCACAATAATGTAGAATATAAGATGGAAACATTAGCTGGAGTGTTAAATGCTCTCATAAATACTACAATAAACAAAGATAACGAAGAAAACTTAATGAATGTTAAACTTATTGCAGGAGTTTTGAAGTTCAGTTATGTGAAGGAGTTTAAGATACCAAGAATGAGTCATAGAGTACAACTTCTTTTGGGTGCATACCATATGACATTTCCTTTGAAAAGTGTTGACAAAACGATTGAGATGAAATCTGTTCCATACGTATGTTATGGCAATTGTTTATACATTGAGTCTAAAATAGCTAATGTCACAGGCATTTCAGGAGTTAATAGTAAAGGTTCAGTAGAATATAAATCCTTCTGTTATGCAGTCAATTCAATGTTCATTCCAAACGTTCCTGTCATAGCAACTCATTTAGGTAAATGGGTTCGCATTAGTCCTCATAATTTGAAAGACATGCAATTCAGACTTGTTGACTTTCAAGGAGAGCCTGTAGAACTGAAGGCACCAGTGCGAATGACTGTTGAAGTTGACTTTTTAGAAAATATTAAATGCAACAGCTTACAAGAGAACTCAGAGCTAAAAATATAAAGTATGAATGTTATGTATTAGGTCATGAACTTTGGTTGTTGCTGTTTGATGAAACAAATGAGTTAGTTATGTCAGTCAAGAGAACAGAAAAATATTGTGTTAGTGAAAACTGCACCAAGTCAATAAGATTATGTTTGCATTATGAAGATGAGTTCAATAGTGTTGAAGAAGTTTTGGATAGATATTACAAATTGCTTTAATTTACTAAAACATATTTCAAACAAAGCTTATAGTAAGTAGATAGTTTTGTATACTCGTTCGAATATTTATACTTAAACTCAACTCCTGGAGTACCTGGTGTTTCAATGATGCGGATGTTACCTATTTTCATGAATATTGGAGTTTGACCACAGCATTCGATTTCAGGGTCGAGATAGTCAATGACACATTGCTTTCCTGTTATTCGTGATATAATATTTTCAAGGTCCTCCTTTGTTAGAATTATTTGGTTCTTACTTATAAGATTTGTCAAAAGCTTCTTATCGTCTTTGAGTAAAATTGTTTGGTATAACTGAAGAAGGTAATGGTCTACGTTATCTGAAGGATTTGTTTGAACATTTGTGTAAGGGTTGTCGTTGGCTTCTCTTGAAAGAACTTGGTCCAGTGGTGGATACTCTAACTTAACATCTGATGTAGCGTTAGCGTTTGAAGTTGTGTTTAAATTCACCGACTTAAGATCTGGTTCTTTTTCTTTCAAACACTCCGAACTATAGTTCTTTATGACAATATTGTTTGTCGTTCGTGAGTCAACATTTGATGTTGGTTCAATTGGAACATTAACGGCACCAGCTAAGATGGATTTGCTTCTCATTTCATATAGAATAAAAACCTTTTATATGTATGAAATGAACAATATACTCGACAAGGTTTGAATGTAAAGCTAACGAATGAAAATATTGTTGAATTCACTGAGACAGGAGCTGTGTATAAAGATGTAGAACTACTGAACAAAAGAGCAAAGGGAAGAAGCAGGAATATGAACAAAGGGTGGAAGCCTATAAAAATTTATGTCAATGATGGCTCAGGAGGTTCAAACATAAAGTATGCAGAAAGTTATAGAGTTTATGCTCTCAAAGGTGAAAAGCCTTCATTTAAGAACAGCTATTCTAACGCATATCCTCAAAAGCTAACGGATGGGGAAGTGGATGATATGAATGACAGCAAAAATATTAACAGAAATGGCGACAGAGATGCATGGAATTTGTTTACCATCAGTCAATTGAAGGTTAAACTTTAAAACAATGTTGGTCGTTCCCATGGAATATTTTTGACTTTAATGGTATTAGTCATGATATGAATCTCAAGGTATGAACGAGGAGAGATGAGAGACTTATATGCTTCCCAAATTTCTTCAAAAGGTAATGTTATACCTGACTGTTTCCAAATGAGTTCAATATCATAGCGTGAGAAACCTTGAAAGATAACGAAGTCAGTTATGAGACGTTTTATGTTTAAAGCAAGGAAACGCCATGTTTGCATAAGTATTGCTACAGTTAAATGGTAATGTCTGACTTTAGTTATGATGTTAGCTAATGGTGAGTCAGGCTTTGACACTAAACCTTTTCCGGCGAAGTCGTCACAAACGAGCAGAGTGTTTGAAGGATACTTTTTGAAGGGGTATTTTGAAAGTTTTGATAGAATGTAGTTTGTCAGTCGTTTCATATCGTAAACTCCTGAGTACTGACGTAAGTGGTGTTTGTCAATAATTCTTTCCATCTCTTCCGAAGTCTTTTGCATTCCTGACTGTATGAACTCTACAATAGCATAATATTTTCTCTTACGTCGAATGTAACGTTGAAGAAATTCAATGAGTTCGCTATCTGGAACTTTAACGACAGATGCTTGAACTTTACTCATGAATGTTTTCGCTGTTGAATCCATAGAGTCTGAAGTTGCTGATATAATGATTTGGTCATAGTAAGAGTCGTTTCCTAAACGCTCTGTTATGAGTATATGACGAATGAGGTTAAATGTCTTACCTGAACCCATCTTTCCACAATAGAAATACACACCATTTGAACAGAATTCATAATCTTTGCTGAAAGGAAGAATAAGAGAAGAGTTAAGTTTGTCTGTAGTTTCATTCATGTCTTCATCTACGTCATGTATTAAATGCTTCATTTTATCTCCATTAAAAATGCAAGTCAGAAATATTCAGAACATAGCACCGAGTCTAACTGACAAGAGTATAAAGATATACTATGAACACGTTATGATGAAACCAACCAAAATTCAAGAAAGTCAGTATACTTATGAATATCCAAGACACTGGGTAGAGTATGTAGGAGGTGAGAAAGCTATTGAAATAAGACAAGTTAGAAGTATTCCAGCAGGAAGGACAATATTATTGAAGAACTTTAATGTTTTGAGATATAATGATGAAACAAAGAAGCAAGATAGTTTCCCTGTTGCTGTGTATGTGAACTTAGATACAGGAGATGACATGAAAGTTTTTAACACAAAGCTTCAAATGGTATTGAAAGAACAACTTATAGCAGAAGGACACCCATTACCTTCAGAAGTTACCATAGCATATAATTTTGAAACAAATGCAATAGATTTTAAAATCGCCTCTGCAAAGAAGTCAGGTTTTACATTTAATGAAGCAGATGTATATTCGAATGAAAACTTCAAAGCTATTGCATGGTTAGATAATGACGATTGCTTTAAGAAAATATTTAAATTCAGTGACTCAAAGATGTCAATAGATGACCTTCGTGGAATGTTACCATCGACGTTTACAGTTGAAGGCTCAGCAGGATTGCTTACAAGATTGTCAATTGGTGGCGTTTGGTCTCGTGAGAACATTGTTATAAAATCCAGTATAAGTGAATTTGCTGAAGAATCTATATTATGTCTTTCAAACTACATGTATTCGCCACCGAAGCATTATAGTATAACAAACTTTGTCAGTAAGTTTAACATAAGACTTGTCGAACCTTCTTCAATGAAAGATGTTGTGCTACCTAAAGATGGAAAGGATGGACTCATTATTGAGATGATTTTAATTGCATATTAAATGAGCTTGTTCTTAAAGGTCGTTCATGATGAAATAACTGTTGTAGAAGATGTTAGCAATTGTTCAGACATTTTGAAGCGAATAGATGAGATAAGAAAGAAGTTAGATAGACCGCAAAGCGGTGAGGCGAAGCCCGTGAGAACGTTTATGTTTCATTGACTTTCTCCAGTAACGAGAACTTTTATGAGATAATATTGAAGAGAGATGATTTTAATATGGGGTAAATGGTAGCTTGGGCAGCTTTAGGCGCAATGGGAACAAAAGCATTAGCATTTGGAGCAAAAGCACTTGGAGCTTATGACGCAGTAAATAAAATGAGTGGAGGAAGGGTTTCAAAGACATTAGATGCAAATAAAGGAAGATTGGAGGCTGGGTTGCAAAGAAGTTAAGATTAAATAAAATAGGGCTCATAAATAAAGCATCCAATTTGGTTGCGACTGAGTCAGAAAATGCTTTAGGAAAGGACGATGAGTTTGCAAAACACGCAAAAGACTTTAATGACCAGATGAAAGGTGAAACAATGCATTTAAATAGAGTCGATGGAACTAAAGAAAATGTTTCTTCTCCACCAGCGGTTTATCCATACGGACCTTATGGAATGTATGGAAACCCTTATGAACGACCATTTGACCCATTGACTGGTGGAAGTAATTGGTATCATTATGGACGAAGAAGAAAGACAGTCAAGTTGGAGACAGACGTGAAGAAAGCAACTAAAAAGAAACCAAGGAAGAGAGTTATAAAGCAATGAATTCAACAGGTTAGAAATGAGGTTAGAAATCGGGTTATATCTCACCACTTCACCTAAATTTATTTTTGTGCTATGTTTTCATACGTGTGAGGGTGGTGATATCATTTATTTTTTATTTTATTTTTTAAAATTATTTTTATTTTATTTGGATGTAATGACAGAACAAAAGCAACTCATACAAATCAAAACATATAACAAACATACATTTAAACATTTATTCTTCCTTCCTGAGCATAACATGTTCTTTCAAATACATCCGAGACCAGTTGACTTTTCATTGACTGTTTATAAAGATAGAAATAGTTATATCATTAAACCATACGATGACGAAGGTAAGTTATGTAAATTGTACGTTAAGAAGTTAGAGAAAGTTTATGGCTTCAAGTATGACTACAATAGGGTTAACACTGATGATGAAGATATTGAGGAAAATTTATGAGAACATTAGTGAAGTTGTTAGTGAGAACGATAATGAGGTGAAATTGTTGGCGGCTTTGTAAATATTTAAGGTTAAGTTAGTTTTTGCGTTCATGTTGTAAAATATACGTTAACGGTTTTGTAAAGTGTCAAATTCACAAGTATTGGGTAAGGTGGAACGCAGTGCCACCATACCCAAGACTTGTATACTAACTCACAATATTTTTCTGTTCTCTTGACTGACATAACTAACTCATTTGTTTCATCAAACAGCAACAACCAAAGTTCATGACCTAATACATAACATTCATACTTTATATTTTTAGCTCTGAGTTCTCTTGTAAGCTGTTGCATTTAATATTTTCTAAAAAGTCAACTTCAACAGTCATTCGCACTGGTGCCTTCAGTTCTACAGGCTCTCCTTGAAAGTCAACAAGTCTGAATTGCATGTCTTTCAAATTATGAGGACTAATGCGAACCCATTTACCTAAATGAGTTGCTATGACAGGAACGTTTGGAATGAACATTGAATTGACTGCATAACAGAAGGATTTATATTCTACTGAACCTTTACTATTAACTCCTGAAATGCCTGTGACATTAGCTATTTTAGACTCAATGTATAAACAATTGCCATAACATACGTATGGAACAGATTTCATCTCAATCGTTTTGTCAACACTTTTCAAAGGAAATGTCATATGGTATGCACCCAAAAGAAGTTGTACTCTATGACTCATTCTTGGTATCTTAAACTCCTTCACATAACTGAACTTCAAAACTCCTGCAATAAGTTTAACATTCATTAAGTTTTCTTCGTTATCTTTGTTTATTGTAGTATTTATGAGAGCATTTAACACTCCAGCTAATGTTTCCATCTTATATTCTACATTATTGTGAAATCTTATTTCGTGCTTCTTTCCATCTATTTCAATCTCCATGAAATCTGTTTCATCTGTTATAACGAATGAAGCGATAGTATTGAAGTCAACCATTCTGAATGTTATATACGGTAATTTTATTTCTGTAGTTTCTGAATTAAAGATATTCGCTAAAATGTTTTGTAAACTGTTTTGAACAGCTGTGTAAACCGTTGAATTCGGAACTCTTACGATTTCACCGTCCTTAATAAAGGGCATTGCACATGGTGTAGTGCTTGGGTCAAATCTTTTTGGGTTATGATTCAACATATATTCTAATGCTTCATAAACAGACCTATATACGGTTGTATTATCTTTTTCAATAATTTCACCGTCCTTTATAAACGGCATAGTACATGGAGTTAAAATAGGGTCAAACTTTTCATAGTCCTTCCATGTTATGTATTTCTCAGTATTTCCATCAGTGATAACAATATATTTGTCAGTAAGTGTGAGAGAGTATTGACCAAAATATAAACGTTTAGCTCTGTCAGCTTCATACGCATATGCAGCTATACTCATATTTTAATGAGAATAAAATGTTGTTCTATTTGCAAAGTACAGACCCAAACGAATACGGGACAGTAAAACTACAAACAAACTTAGGTCTACAGAATGAGGCGCTTGCATTCATGCTAAAGAAATTAAATCAAAAACGACAACATTATTTACGTCACTTAATGATTTAATGACTTATATCATTAATATTCCTGCACCAACTATAGCATTTGATCCAAACTCGACGGTTTGCAGTGTACCTTTCATAAATGACAGTTCATTAATTACTTTAAGGGATTCGACAGTAAATGAATCATTAAAGGCGTCATTAATGAAAATCATTGATTTTAATTCATTCATGAATACATATAATTCATTCATTAATGTTTCATACACTTCTAAAGAAGGTAAGCCAAAAACTATCGATAAAGCGGTGTATGAAATAAAAGCATCAACGACGAAATTGAATTCGTTAACTTTTGACGGTGATAGTTTCGTTAATGACATAACATCGGGGAAAACAATTTTAACGAAAGAATACTTAAAATCTCATGTTTGTGAGTTCGTTGAAATTGAAAAAGAAGGTGGAATTAAGTTCGATCCACTGAATTTCATTTTCAGCTTAGCGAATGCGGGTGTTAGTTTCGCTGAATGGACAACTATACAGAGTGAAATAAACGCAATATGGACGTTTTTGGGGTCAAAAGCTGGAATGGGTGAGCTTGTAAATGCTGCAAGAACATTAGGTGAAACGGGAAATTTTGTAGATGGTTTTAAAGACTTGTTTCAAATGTTTTGACAAACACAAAGAAATTATTTAGATATACCATACATAACGGCCAGATTTTCGAACAGGTAGCAACAAACCCTCCGGTTATGGCTGCGTTGATGATGATTAGAGATATAAAACCACGTAACGACGGGAACGAAGAACATGAACAACAGGATACTGGTCGGGTTATTCGAGACTTTAAAAACGTGTATCCTGAAGTTATTGATTTATTTAGAGGAGTTAATGATTCAATTTCAAAACATTCTATAACCCTCGATGAAGAGAATAAATTAACAGATTATATATTCGTCATTATTGCAGAATTAATGAAGAGAATAAATGAAAAAGGAATTGGTGATATCATTAATGTCAGCGATGTAATGATGAAAAGAAATTTTGACTCATTATTTACAAAACCGAAAACAGAATATAGTCTTTATGACGTAATTACCGAATTAATGAAAAAGATTAATGATAATAAGAGTTCTGGCGGAAGAGTTGAATTAGAAGTGAATGATGTTAATAAGAAATTAGCCGAAAAAGCAGATAAAAACCATGTTCATTATATAACTTCAGATGAACAGATTATAACGGATTACCATGGATATTTAACACAGGATGAAAAAGTGAAGACGGAAGATGTTAATGAAAGAAGATATAAATACATTCGTGCTAAAGGTTATGACATAAGCTGTACTGTACAGTATGACACAGGTAAAGCACAAGAAGCATTTGGTTATAACGATGAAATATATGCCTCTAGTTTCTTTGTTAACGGTGTATTAGTTGAACCAAGATTTATGTTGAGAGTTAAGACAAAAATAACTTTTGAAGATGCTATTAAAAGTAAAGCTGACAAAGATGAACTTGACGCAACGAACAAAGTTTTGAAATCTCATAAACACAATATCTCCGATATAAATGAACTTCAAGCTACATTAAATAGTAAAGCTGACAAGAACCATACACATGAATCCTTCACTACTGTTAGAGCAGACGACATAATATTGAACTATACCCTTGGTTCAAGTGCACTTTTAGAGAATCCAAGTACAAGCGTAAAAGATACACTAAACTCCTTAAATAGTAAATGTATGAACATTGAAGGTCATGTCAGAAACTTTGAAACATATGAACTACCAGCAATGTTAGATAAAAAAGCAGATAAAGAACATACACATAACTCCTTCACTACTGTTAGAGCAGATGACATAATATTGAACTATGATTTGGGTTCAAGTGCACCTTTAGAGAATCCGAGTACAAGCGTAAAAGATACTCTTAACAATTTAGATAAGAGTTGCAGGAATATCGAAGGTCATGCCAGAAACTTTGAAACATATGAACTACCAGCAATGTTAGATAAGAAAGCAGACAAAACAGAGCTTCAAACATTAAAGACTGAAATACTTCAAACATTATATCCTATAGGCTCTATTTATACGTCAATGAACTCAACAAATCCAGAAACAGTTTTAGGTTTTGGTATGTGGAAGCAGATTGTAGATAAATTCTTATACTGTGCTAGATATTCAAAGCAAAGAGGAGGTTCGAAGAAAATTAAAGAAGCAAACCTTCCACCGCACACTCATACAGGAACTACAAACTTTTCTGGCGACCATGGCCACTCATTAAGAGACCACCCATTATACAACTCAGAGTATGAAGCTGGCAATGATGTTTTATCTCCATCTTATAACAATGCAGCAAAAAAGATTTTTCGACCAACTGAACCGGGAGGAAATCATTCACACACTTTCACAACAAATCCAACAGGCTCGGGTGCAGATTATATGCCACCATTTGTGGCTATATTCGCATGGTACCGCGTTCAATGAACGCGCTTGAGCCTTGAATAAAATCTTTAACTTTACATAAATGAGTTTGAAAGAAGTATTCGAACAACATCCATGGAGGTCATTTAAGAAGTTCAATGAAGCTGCAAAGAGTTGGGGATTTACTAACAGAGCTGAAGTGAAAAGGTTCTTTGACAAAAATGTTGTACATCAAACAAAAATAAACCCTTACGACTACTTTTTACCAATTTACTCCAACACTCCTGACGCATACCAAGTTGACACTCTCATTCAAAGCAGAAAAGGAGGACATAAACCATTCCTCATCTTCATTAATGTTAACACTCGTAAAGCTTTTGCGTATATAATGAAAAATAAAGGAACTCATGAAGTTTTAAGAGTTTTACAAAAGTTTGTAGCAGAACATAGCCCAAGTACTTTAACATCAGACCAAGACAGTGCATACCTCAGCAATGAAATCACAGATTTTCTCATTAAGCATAACATAACTCACTACACTACTGAAGACCATAACCATAACATACTCGGCATCATAAACCGCTTCATAAGAACGCTCAGAGATTTAAACCAAGAGCGAGACTTTACCGAAGAAACAATGAAACATTTTCTCGAAGTATATAATTCCTCAACACATTCTACAACAGGACATACACCAAATTCAATGACACAACAACAAGAAGAAAAGTATATACAAAAGAAACGAAGTCAAACACAAAATATCAGAAATTCAACACAATTTACTCTCATTCCTGGTACAAGAGTTCGTGTAGTTCTTGACGACAAACCGTTGACAAAGAAATGTTTAAGGTTAAGTAGAAACTATTATATCGTAGACTCTACGCAAGGTAATGGATATCTTATAAAAGCTGCTGACGACTCCATTGCGTTTTACCCTCGACATAAATTAGTCGAAAGTAGTAATGGCAAACTTGCTGAAACCATTGACGAAGCAAAGCGAGGAGTGGTTATTGAAATACTTGGCTACAACATAAACGATGACACTTATAAAGTAAGATATGAAGGAGGCGTTGAAGATGTTATACCATCTAAGAACTTGAGAGAGTCAAAGCCAACACATCTGGGACCATTAGAGCGGGTGTACTGGAAAGACAAAAATATGCCAGAAAGAATAAGAAAATTCTTCTAAACTTTTTCATTAGATGTAAATCAGACATGAATGAGAACAGTCATGTATTATTAATGTTTTCATAAATTTACACCAAAAATAATGTTTAGGGTAGATGGTTAGATCTAACCCGATTTCTAACCTCATTTCTACCCTCATGAATTTCCTTAAGACAGAAAAAATAAAGTTAGTTTTATTTTTATTTATTTTTTTTATTTTGTATGTAAGAACAGAAATGTCAGTCGAAGCAAAAACATTCACTAACAAATATAATGGCGAAACATTCACAAAAGGCACTTATAACGGTATTGAAGTCTTACGTAGAGACAAGGATGGTTACATTAATGCAACAAAAATGTGTCAGCAGTTTAGGAAAGACTTTAGAAAGTTGTTGGAAAATAAGTCCTGGGAAGAGTATTATAAGGCGTTTTGTGAAGAATATAGCAACCGCCGGAATTCCGGCGGTTGGTTTTTATACAAAATTCATGCGGGAATTCCTGATGAAATCAGACAGGTTAGAGGAACGTATGTAGACCCAAGACTTATAAACTATATAGCAATGTGGGCTTCTCCAAAATATTGCATAGCAGTTGGAAAAATTATGGACTCCATAGACAAGAAAGTTCATGAGAAATTAGATGAAGAAGAACTCGAAGATACAGTAGAGAATGCTAAACCTTTGTTTGAAGAAGAAGTTAGAAAAATGCATGAAAAACAATTAGAACATGAACGTGAGATATGTTATGGTTATAGAGATTCTCCATACGAACTAGACCAATGGGAACAAGAAGATTTAAAAAGAGAATTTAGAGAATATGAACTCGCTAAGATAGCATTAGAAGCTGCAGAAAAGAAGTTAAAAGTTTGGGGTCGTTTTGTACAAAAATATTGTGAGTAAATGAACCATTTATTTTTATTGAATTCACCAAAAATAATGTTTAGGTGAAGAGGTGAGATCTCACCCGTTTTCTCACCTGTTTTTTCACCCCCGTGAATTTTCATGAATTTCCTTAAGATAGAAAAAATAAAGTTAGTTTTATTTTTATTTATTTTTTTATTTTGTATAAAAGATATGATTTCAACAATCGGCACAACAACAATTCAAGCAACGAACGGCGGGACTCTGTCCACAACTACAGCACCAAACTCGCTAGTCATGAATCCTACGTCAATGTTGGTAGAGATGAAAAGCTTTATTCCTTCTTCATATACTTTTGAAACAGAAATCCAGAAGATAAAGCAAGAACTTTTAACAAGTAATTTAGACTGTAGTGCGAAAGATGAAACAAATGAACAGTATCTTTATGAAATGGAGGACCTCATCGACCATTTGCCTAAACTACCTGAAATTCAGCAGCAAAAACTAACTATTCCTGAATTCGACGAAATTGAAGTCAAAGCAACTGACTCAGTAGAAATTAAGAAATTCATACGTAAAGTAAATTATGAATTCCTTGGTTTTCATTGCAACCATAAAGTTATGGACAGATTGCGACATGGTTTATAAAAATATTTCTGACATATATAAATCGGTGGAGTTTAAGACATACGATAACTTTGTTTCATTAGTTGCAAAATGTGTTTGGGAAATAAGAATAAAGATAGAAGAGGTAAAGTTGGAATGAACAGATAAAACCAGCAGCTTTTGAGTTAAAGAAAACCATTGACGCCTTAGTTGTTCTAGCTGGTTTTATTTCAATGTATAACGCAAAAATGAATCCGCAATGTTCAAAATGTAAAGCAGCAATAAGAAAATATAACTACTCCGTCAAAGAGATAGAACGTATGAGAAACGACTATGCAGACTTAAAGAAAGAAGCAGAAAAGCCAGCAGAAGATAAAATGGATATGTTGACATTTCTTAATAAAAACTATCCAACAGCAGAAGATTTCCTTTTATCTGACGTCAAGAAGAAGTATAAAGAAACCTTCGGCATTGTTAAAACATTCGATGTACTAAAAGAAGAAATAGAAGCTACGAAATTGTTTAGAATCTCACGAATTCATAACGTTTACCATGTAAAACGTTTATAAAATAACTGGGGTAGAAATGAGGTTAGATATCGGGTTAGATATCGGGTTAGATCTAACCATCTACCCTAAAATATATTTTTGGTCAAAGCTTCCACGAGAGAAAAGATTCCTCATTCGCTAAGGATTCCAAAAATGAAAAAATCATTGATTTCGGCTGAGAAAAAACAGCAAAACCCTTCTTCCACGGGAACAAAGAAATAAAGAAGAAATAAGGTAAATTTTTTATTTATTCCCGTGGAAGATAGAGCACTTTTATGACGCTTTTTATTCACGACAAACAAGACAAACAAAGAAAATAAGAAAATACGGCGCTGTCGCGGTTCGAACCACAGACCCTGACCCCTCCATAACACCACCTTAGACCACTGTGCTACGTAGCCTGTCGACATAAGATTTTATAAATTGCATATTTGACGTAAATTTATTTCCATCTAGCTTCCCACCGCATAAGATATTCATACGTGTTTGTAAGACATTCATTAAACTTCTTTTCTATTGCATCTAATCTTGCGTTATTTTTTTCAATAACTTGTCTGTATTCTTCATCATCTCCAGCAGTGTTTGGGTCTTCACGTTTAAAATATTCATTGTTAACCAATTTTTTATCTACAAATTTTATTAGTGTTTGATTCACTTCGTTATGATAACGGTCATATTCTTTCAATACGTAAGTGAAGACAAAATTCGTCGTACCTTCAATCTTAAAGCTTAAAGAACTTTCAACACAGTTTTGAGGGTCTGTCAGTGCGTCAATGAGATAGTATTCGAAGTCAGTCAATAATCTTTTAAAAGTCATTTCATACAGGATAAAATTTAATGTTGTGAAGAAATAGTGTTTATCTCAGAAAAAATAACGCTAATTTTTTTCTAACAAATTTTTTTATTTTGTATGTAAAGACAGTAATGTCAACATCAGAGAACACAACAACAGTTATAGTCCATGAAGCTATAAATGAAGAATACGAGTACATACAGTATAACAAACAGTTACGTCTCATTCGTTCAGTCAAAGATGACATGTACCAAATGCAAAGTATAATGAATGCTCTTCGTTCTACAAAGCAAGCATATCATTGGTTTGAAAACCAACAGACAAAAGAACTTTTAGAAGAATTTCCTCATATGATTGCTTCCCTCGGAAAACCGAGGGAAGAGATTCCGTATGAAAATCGCAAGAATTTGGCTCCTGGTTTGAAAGGTTATTATGTTCATAGACTTTTAGTAAATGCTGTAGCAATGTGGGCTTGGCCCCGTTATGCTTGTTATATTTTCATGATGTTAGATGAACTATATAAAGCAGAACGTGGAGAGATGGAAAAGAAACTTCAAGCAAAAGATGAAGTCATTGAATCCAAAGAAAAAGCATACAGAAAGAATACCGCGTTCAGTACCAAAAGGAAAGGAAAAGAGTTTATAAGTATATGTATATACTGAAGAGTTGGAAATGAAGAAGATAAAGATATGGTTATGTTGCATTTAGTCAGAAGAAACAACAAGAGTTTTATGACTTAGCTAAAATATATAAATCTGACAGAAACTGGTTCTATCGTGAAAACTTACGATTTCAATGACACCGAATGAGCAAATAAAGGAAATTGTCAAATACTCTTCCTCAAACACACTATGACATCAAAGGTTGCACATACTTACATTCAAAGAAGACTTAACATTACTGAAGGAAAAAATAACAGAATATTTCGATAACTTCAAAGAGGAGAATGAAGTCACGACAACATTAACGATGAAGTCACGACAACATTAACGAAGAGAGAATGAGGTGAAAAAAGAGGTGAAAAAACGGGTGAGATCTCACCTCTTCACCTAAAATATATTTTTGTGCTATATTTACACTCATTTACGA